CTTGTGTCACTTCAATTTTTTATTAAAGTTGAAAGGAGAAACCATGACTGAAAAAACAGGAGAAACATATAACAAATCAAACTTGTAAGAGAAAAAGAAGCATTCCCTTTCTACTCGAGCTTGAAATTTGTTTTCCTAGAGGTGAATGTATCGTGGTTGATGGTATGTGAATTTCTCTATGCGTAGGATTCTTTCTAAGTTCAAGTTTTTTTTTTTTTTTTTTAATTATCTATCTCAACTAATTTAAATATAAAGAAAAGTGGCATATGTGAAGTTGGAAGTAAGTCGCACGAAGGAAAACTAGTTTTTGCCTTTGACCTTTTTCTCTCTCTTTTTTTTCGAAAAAAAATTCAAACTAATATAGCTAATTTAATCATGCTATTTTATTAATATTGTAATTAAGACACTTGGATTATAATAGAGTAATTTTGAATTTATTTTAAATAAAATATTTTTATAACTAATTCATTTTGTATTAACAAGATTAATTTAAGTGTTTCACGTTTTAAACCTTATAATTTGAAAATGAATCATGAGAGCTTGATGATCCTAACTTCTTAAATATATTTTTTAAATATATTTCTGTACTCTTAAAAATAATTGATTTTTAATGAAAATGATTAACTGAGACATGACACTATGTTATCCTATAATTTAAAGTACCTAAGCTCTGACAGTTTTATATTTTTGAATTAATTTTAAATAGAATAATCTTTTATGATTAATTAATTTTACATTATTAATATTTTTATTTAAAATTTAAAATTTTGACTTTAATAATTACAGATCCTTAAAGTATGCATACGAGAGAGTTATGAGATTTTTCTAAATATTTACGTAAATTTTTTTTACCCTAATTTTTTTGTTTCCTCCATTTTGAAGATTTTTTTTCTATTAGTTTCTCTTACTCTTTTACATTTGAGATTTTATTTTTTATAAAAAAATTATTTTTTCAAGTGATAATTTTTTAAAAATTATAAAAAATAAAATATTAATTTTAAAGTTATTTATTTTTAGAGAGAGAAAATTATTTTTTTTAAAAAAATAAAAAAAAATAAATAAAAAATATAAAAGACAATAATATAATTTGTATGTAATATAATTTGTATGATTAAACTGTTGTTACTTTATCTTAATATTAAACATTAAACAAGAAAGAAACTCTTCTTCTCCTTTAAATCTTTTTCCTTTTTTCTTCTTCTTCTTCCAAACTTTTAAATAAAGTGTTAGTAAGAAATGCAACATTTAGCATAACAATGGGATTGGGAATATTAAATATTTTAGAAAATATTTCACTAAAATTAAAGAATTTTTTTTTGTAAAAGCTAAAATTAAAAATAAATAATTTATAGTATTTAGTGTAATAATATGATAAAAGAATCACAACAAACAAATGAAAAGACTTCAAATATAAACAAAAGACACAACTAAATTGATATCTTTTATATATTAGCTCAAAGTTTAGGTATGTAGTAACCCACTTCAAATCCTTAATGTTTAACTTTTTATTTTTCATTCAACATAATAAATAACTTTTTAGCGTAATAAGGATGGATCTAAAATCTCCTGGGTGAAATGGGAAACGGTATGTAGACTGCAGAAGAATGATGACTTGGGCATTAGGAATGTGCAGTGGTTTAACTGAGCTCTTCTTGGTAAATGGTTGTGGCAAAGTGTTAATTGTTCTAGTTCATTGGGGGTGCAGGTGTTGAAATCTAGATATGGAAGATTAGTTTCTTCTATTCAGCATCCATCAGTCCACAACAAATGTTCTTTGTAGTGGCGTGATTTAATGGAAGTTATTCATCAAGGTAATTCTTGGCTGGATGAGAAGTTTGATAGGAGTGTGGGTGCAGGTTTACACACTCTTTTTTGGAGAGATAAGTGGATAGGCAGGGTGTGATTGTGTGAAACATTTTCGCGATTGTTTGCGGTGGCGAGGAATGTTGAATCATGTGTATTGGAGAATGATTTTCATAATGACACTAGGTGAGTTTGGGATGTTAGTTGGCGAAGATGACTCTTTCAACATGAGATCTCAAGCTTTAATCTTTTGTTAGAGTTTGTGGATGAAGTTTCTATTAAGTTACTATAAGAAAATAAATAGGTATGGAAGGCAGATTCTTCAGGTTGTTATTCAGTATAATCTGCGTATTCATGACTATTTGAACTTTTTGGTGGTCCTAATAGTGTAGATCAGTGTACGGCAGATGCCTTGCAAAGGTTATGGAGAGGAAAGTTCCTTTTTAAGTGTCTGGTATTTTCTTAGCAATTGTTGCTGAATGCACTTCCTTGTAAGGGTTTGCTGATTGATCAAGGTGTTCAAATTGATGATATAACTTGTTGCTTCTGTCATAGTTTGGAGGAACTTCCAACTCATTTATTTTTAATGTGTTCAGTTTCATCTCAAATCTGATACTTTACTGCGCGTTGGCTTGGATTCTCACTGGTTTTGCCTTCAGATATATCGACTCACTTGCTTTCTTGGATTGGTGTTGGCTGTAGTAAAAGAGAAGGGATATGCTTATTAATTGTTTGGGTAAGTACATTGTGATCTTTGTGGTTACATAGAAATAAAATTGTATTTTCCAATGGTGTGTTGGATGAGAGGGAAGTTCTAGATTCTATTATTCTGAGGTCCTGGAAATGACTATTACTTGCTAGTAAGGGAAAAGCTATTTTATTAACTGATTGGTATTTGAACTCACGAAATTGCATTCATCTTAGCTTTGTATAAGTATATTTTTACTTTTTATTTCTCTGAGTTAATAATTTTTTTCTGTGTATATGAGTTTTGAGTTCTCCTTGAACTTTCTCTAATAATATATGTTTTGCCTATAAAAAAAAAAAAACTATTCTCACTAATTAAACTCAACTGGAAGCATATTTAGGGATGAGTATTATTCTCCCACAACGATAGGAATGAGTTTTACGTTTTACAATCAATAGTCAAACGAGATGAGTGGATATTATTGGGTAACTCATCGACGGGTACCAACATCTGAAATTATTTAAACTCTTTTAACTATTCAAATGAAAATTTATTTTTTTTCAATTTTTTATCAGTAGATTTTTCATACATTCTAAGCTTTATAATTTTTAAAAAATATTTTTTAATAATATAATAAACATCTACTAATACTAGTAGATTAGTAGATACGTATGAATAACATCTACTGTAAAGTAAGACTTGCTTCCTTTTAAAGCCAAGTCTAAAGCCTAAAATCAAGGACCCAATTTTATTAATTAAAAAATTATAAAAACTATACATAATAAATTAAAATTAAGAGTCAAAATCATATTTAGATTAACATATTAAAATTAAAAGTACAACTAGAAATAATTTCTTTGCCAAATTCAAAATAGAAGATACGACTTCGTAAGACTTTTCAATAATAATTGAAGAAATTATGAGATCAACGACCTAATTTGATAATTCTTAAAAATTACGAAAGTTAAATTCAGAAAATTAGAATTACAAGAACTAAATTCGACATAAGGCAAACTATAGATTAGCGATTGGGCCTATTATGTATTACTATAAAAGCATACGAAGCAGTAAATATAATTCTTTTACCAAGTTGTGATTTAGTTTTATTTGTCAGTCAATGCAGAGGATATATGTTGTGTAAATATTTGGTGAGAAAAACTTTTTTATATAATATAATCATACATAGATGGTCCAAATTAAAAGATTTGATAAGTCACTAATTCTTAAAAAAATTATGTGTAAAATGTATGTTTTAATTTTGATTATTGATGTTAAGATGTAACGATTAATATTTGATTCTCTCAATCTCACGTAAAAGAACAATCCTCTTCATTTGATACTTTTCCTATATGTGTTTATAAATTACCTTTTTATTTTTTGAGAGATAATTAAATTATATATATTTTTTATTTTAAAATACACACTCTTCTTTCTTGAGCAGTGAAATCAGATACATATTAATGCTTTTCAACATAAACAAATCTCTTAATAATTATGAATGTCTCTTAATGATATCTTGTCCTCTCTATAATTTCTAGTGTTAATTAACAATTAATTTAAAACATCTTATTACTAATTTTAATAGTTTTAAAATATAAAATTTTAAATGTCTCTATTATTAGTTTAAAAAATTTTGTATGCAGTATTTAGTTTACTTTTAAGGTCACATAATTAATAATAGGTGTTCAAAACATCTCTCAAGAGTGAAATTTAATTTTTTCATATCACTATATATATATATATATATTATAATTAAAACAATACTCTTGAAACTTTCAATAGTAAGAAGAATGATAACAATATACATTTTTAAACATACTCTTTACCACATTTTTTAATACTTATAATTTTTTTACAGATAAAATAATTATATAAAATCTGCTAATTGTTTTTTAAAAAAGCATCTTACTAGCAATTTTTTATTGTAAATTTTTATTATAAATAGAACATGTTCTTCGTCAAAGATCACATTGCCAGTTGATTTCGGAGATGTTTCCAAGAACGTATATACCATGTGTGAATCAAATAACGTGAGCAGCATTCAATTGACCATTTATTTGGATTGAAGTTATAGTTTTTCCCGTTGAAACGAAATTGAACCTAACTTGAATAAATTTTCGAACACGCAGAAACGCCGACAGTCTTCCAAACTTCAAAGCTAGTGGCGTTTTGGCACGATACAATATCACAAGTTGAGGGCACTTGGGTATTAAAACAAAGGATAAAAGCCGATAACCACAGATTGCAGATGAGTGATTCTCGTGAAAACAAATGCAAATTTTTGTCTGCTTCCGCCGTTTGTCTGCTTCAATCATGATAACTACGGAGTAGAAAAACAGACACGGGCACGACCTTATCGTTACGGAATGGCTGGTTAACTTTCCTTGCATAATTACCATTGCTACAACTTTCAAGACTTAAAGAAGCATTATTGCAAAATGAGAATATTCTTTGTTGAGGCAATAAGGCACCAAAATATTAATCACCATCTTAAAGTCACTCAATCTAGTGTATGTATGCACGCACATTAGAGCTGAGAAAATCATGAGTAAAAAATGGCATTTCAACAAGCCTTCTTTACATGGTGCACTCGGCCAGAATTTAAATACGCTGGCTTACAAATTACACTTGTTCCTGATGTGTATTCATTGTTGATCCTGGTGCTATGGCAAACTGAAGACCCCTGTGCTGCCCGGATTGTAGAACGAAAGCAACTTGGGTTGCTGCAAGTGCCGCAGCCTCCTGTTTCACCATGACATGAAAATGATGAGAATTTCCCAGAACATAATGAGTAATCCATCTGCAGGTGTTGCAGTTCCCAGCAACACCACCAAGAAATATGAACAAAGATGGAGCCAAAAAAGCATAATTTCAAAAGAAAACAAATTAGCAAAACCAGAGCAAAATTTAGTGAGAATCAAGACTGAAACTTACTTGTCTTTGTCGTCGGCGTTGCAAAATGCTGATAGCCCAGGCCATGATGTAGCAAGGTAAGAGAAATCCAGCAGCTCGAAGCAAGAAAAGCTGCGGAAAATGGTCAGTTAATTAGGTTTGTCCGACAATAATACATTAAAAAACAATATAACTACTGTCTGAACTAGTACCATTCTGTTATTTGTTGTTCCTGTTAGCTGTCTTTTAACTGTTAATTGGGTTATTAGTAGTTACTAGTTAGTTACCCATTATTTGGGTTATTTACCACTCACGTGTATCAGAAGCCGAATTGGGTTTTATGTATTTGCACATTGTGATCAATCAATGACAGACTTTTTTTTCTCATCAGTTTCTGCTCAAATATGAACTCCTTATCCAATATGAACTAAAGTCACTCACAGAGAAAAAAGTGGATGGATCATCTTCAGCATCAGCATCCGTGACAGAAAGTGCATGCCTTAAGAGTAAAAGGGCCATTAACTGTTCCAAACAAAACGGATTAGGTTAAAATCATGTCCATGTATTAGCATACTACTAGAATAGCCAATGTGCATCAAGACCCTAAAGATCATAGTGAGTACAATTTGATTTCCTTAAAATTCCAAACAAATATGCTAACACTTGACAATTTCATGACTCTATCCAATTCAAACAACATGAATATAACTGAGTTCCATAAATATTTTGTTTGAAGGATTTCAAGGTTAATGCCTACAATCAGAGCAGCTGAACGGCAAAACGCAGCTCCAGTGGCATTAGAAGCAGCATATCCATTATATTCTGCTTCCAAGAATTGGCGTTCCGCCTCTGCAATTGCCAAGAGTCGAGGATCACGCAAGTCCAACGGAGTGCCAGAGATTGTCCAGCCTCCACTATATAATTAGTCACAATTCATGAGTGAGACAAGAGTTTGAAATCAATTGCTTATACATAGAACTAACATATTCAAAATAAAAACTTCAAAAAATAGAAACTTTCAGCTTACCCTATATCAATGGTAGTTTCTTCGGGATGTGGACGAGGCGGTGATGCTGTGTAACCAGGTTCATAAGGCTGAGAAGTACAAGGGAAAACAATTTCCAACAAAGATATCACAAATTAAAGTCGTATGATTGACGGAACATCAGAACACAGACAAATATACTCGACAAAGCAATTGGTTCAATCAATCCAAAGCCACCATTGAACAAAATCACAGTTCAGTTAAAAATAAATAAATTTATGAGTGCGACCCATTATCAACCGATCATCACACATTTAAAATTCCTAAAATTTCTTAAATGTGAAAAAAATCGCATGTAAAAGAAGCATACCTTATGACATATCTCACAAATTATGTCCCCTTTCTCATCGCACCAATGCTGGACGCACTTTCTGTGAGCATACTGTACAAAAAATTTCCGTCAATTAATGAATCAGTTAGACAAAGATAGGAAAAAACAAAGCCTATGAAAACCAATGTCACATAAGCAACATTGTTTCCCAATTATTTCTCAATAATAAAAGGATCCAATTTCTATTCCGATTAGGGAAAATTGCCAAACAGACGAAACGAAACGTTTCACTAACATGATAAAAAAAACAATTTTTTTTCTTATTAATTTCCAGTTTCATAGTAAAACGCATTATTAATGTTTCTAATTTTCAGTAAAAGAAGAATGTTATGTACCTTAAGACTTCCACTGCAGGCGCAAGGGGTCTCTAGATTGTTGACGCTGTCTTCCTCTTGACAAATGCGACATTCCGCCATCTGCAGCAGCGGCGCGTCCTCTCCGTCGCCTTCATCCTCAGCCGCCGGAGAAGAACAGGAGGGGCCCGCCGCCGCCTCCTCCACCGGTGTCGACGGCTCAGGAGCCGGCTGGAGCGGCTGCTGGGTCAGCGGCTCAACCGGCGAGGGCCGCACCAGACGGTCCACAAACAGCACCAGATGATCGCCCATTGATCCTTCTTTTTAATAAATTCAAATAAAAAACAAAAAAATTACAAAAAGAATGGAATGGGTTGGATGAAAAAGGAAAAGTCTCGGGATCACGCTGTGAATTGGCGGATCCCGAGAAATTGAGACTCACCGGAGAAAAGGGGTAATTTGTAAGCGAGGAAAGGGATTGAGCGAGAAATGGGGGAAATAGAGAGAGAGAGAGAGTGTGTTGTTGGTGATGAAAATGGCGTTGGGCGAATATATAGGAAGGTTGTGTTTGTTTTGTTTGGTGGCTTTGCGATTTAGAATATATGTTGGAAGTAGAAAGGGAAATTATGGTCTTTTCCTGAGGGGTGCGCATTGATGTTGTCTTGCGTTGCCGCGTTAACGACCCGTTCCCTCATGACGACACATTTTCTTCTCATTTGACCACAGCTAAACATTTTCTTTTACTTTTTTGTGTGCTATTTGTTTGGACTCAAGAATTTTTATATTATAATTTTATTTTCTGTATTACTCTCTCGCTCGATTAACTCTATTAAATTAGTCTGTGAATATTAGGGAGTTTTATTTGATTAAGTTTTAAAGAATTTTTTTAGTTAAAAAAAGTTATGCAAATTTTAAAAAATTTTGCATAATTTTTATAACTTTTAAGCTTTTCTAGATCCCTACAAAACTTTAAAATTAAGATTTTAATTATGAGATTTTGTGGACTTTATAAAATTTTATCAATTTTTGACGTAAAGAGTTTAAGATTTTTTTTTATACATTCAAATTTAAAAAGTGTTAAAGATAAAGATAATAAAAAATAATAATATTTGAATAATTTATAATAATAATTTTCTATAATATAATGTCTTCCTAAATAGTATTCATCTACATATCTATAGCTATACTTGGTCCAAGCTTCATAGTTTTATTTTTTTTTTCTTTCCTTTATTATTTTCTTGTGAATCTCCCGTTTGAATTACTAAAACAATATATGTTGAATACTAGTTATATAAATAATTATGGATAAAAACACTTATTAAATTTATATCTCACCTAATAGATATTTATATAATTAAAAACAATACAATAGGTCTGTAAAAGGCTTAATTGCTATATATATATATATATAATATACATTATTATTTCTATATTTTAGATATTTAAATATCTATTTATTCAATTAAAAAAATGCTATATTGTATAGACAAATATCTCAAACTCAACAGTTAAATGTGCTAGTTAACTATTTGAAGATTTAGAGTTGATTGTAAAGATCATGATATCAATTTTAGCTTTTACCTCTCTCTTTTTTTGACACGTGTTATAAAAAAATTATTACTTAAAAGTTGAAATTTTAAGTGTTTTCTGTGTTATATATATGAGGAACAAACTCAACTAAATAGAGCAAGTCAATGACATTGTTATTTACATTTTCACGAAACAGGGAAATGGAATGGGAATAATAATACAATATTATATTATATATGAGCAATAGTACAGTATTATTAGTAAAAAAAAATGGAGAAGACAAGAGCATAGAAAAAAAAAATGCAAAAATCACTTGAAAATTTTTTAAGTACTTAAAAAGTCACTTTAAAATCTTTCAAAATCTGATAGTTTTGGATAAAATTATTTTATAAATTTGATATTTATAGATATTACTAAAAAGTCTTTCAAAATCTCTCTAATACAATAATGTTTTAAAATTTTTATATATTTTTTAATACCAATAGATTATTTTTAAGTTGTAAAAAGTCTCAAATGAATACTAATGAATTTTAATGGACTCTTTAAAAAACTTGAAAATCCAGATGGAATACTACTATATTACTTTTAAATGACATAAAATCCTGATTAAATACTAACAAACTTTTTACTTTAAAAAAAAAGAGTCTTTTGAAATTCTAAATCTATATATTCCACTTAATATAATGATGGAATTCATATTTGATATGTGAGTTCAAATTTTATTTTGAGCGCAAAAACTTGATTAATAAGAGATCTGTAAGGTTTACTTTAATATTTTAACCAAAAAGTTATATTAAATTAGTGTAATAATACATGTAATACAAAAATTTATACTACTTATAGTTTCAAATATAAAAATTAATAATATTTTGTTTAAGAAATATAAAAATAATATATTTTATAATGTAATTTATTATTAAATTATTTTATTATACATAAACTTTTTTTTAGTATTAACATTGCTCATGTTAATATATAAATTAAAAATGATAAATTTTCATATCCAAATTGGAATATTATCAATAATAATATAATTATTATTTTATTATAAAAAATTAATGATGAATGTGTTCCGTACTCTATAAATGTTTATCTATCTGATATAAATATTAACGTGACTACATAGGAATATGAATATATTTGTAAATTAAATATTAATATTTTTTATTTACACTTTATTTAAATTTAATGAAATATGATGGGAAGAAAATAAAAGCAGAGATTTAGATGCTCTGAAAGTTAGAGAAAATATTCTCTTTTCTAGTTTAGATGCTTTGAAAGTTAGAGAAAAATACATTATTTCTCACATACCATGGAAATTGAATTGTAAAAGAGGATAATAACATTTTATATAATATAAACATTTCTAAAAGAATTTTTTTACCAAAAAATATTATTGTAAAAATTTTAAATTTTATTACTTAATCAGATTTTTTATAATTATAATAAATAATTTTTAATGTAATTTTTATCTCTCTCTTTTTTACTTATCAAAAAATATTATTGTAAAAATTTTAAATTTTATCACTGAATCAGATTTTTTATAATTATAATAAATAATTGTTAATGTAATTTTTTTCACTCTCTTTTTTACTTATCTAAACAAGTGAATTTTTTTACTTGTTTCTTTTCTATTTTAACCCATTCAAACAATGTATCTCTTTAAATTTAATTTTTATTTATTTATTTTATTTTTCCTATTACTTTTCTCTCTATTTTATCTCATTATCCAGACACAATCTTAATAATAATTTAATTGAAATTTTATTTCTATATAAATGTAAACATTTAGGACTAAGTTTAACCAATTGACTACCACTTGTGCAATCATTTATATCTATAAAAAAAAAAAAATGCTAACTTTAATTTTTATGATTGGGTTTAACCCATGTAATAAAAATATGCTACTTATATATACTTAAACTTAACTATATAAAAATAATATTTTTATAATTTAAATTTTAAGATACTTTTATATAATATTTACTCCTATGATTTATATAAAACACATTTTCATATGAAGTAAATATCAGTTACATGTTAATTAAATATAAATATACATTAAAACTTTAAACCTCTTAAATGTAAATGTCAATATTATTTTATATGTGTTTATTCATGTGTATTTTAAAATTTTGATAATAATAAATAGGTAAAAACTTTAGTAAATAATGAATAATAAATGGTAATTCGAATTGAGGATGAATAATTCAAGCAAAAAATTCAAGAGATATACAGTTAAATTTAAGGCTTAGAATTTTATTTTATAGGACAATAAGCTTGCATATTGATAAGTTCACAAAAATATTTTATCATTTCATGTGTTTTTATTTATTGTTATTTTTTTTTTGTTTTTAAAATTTTATGTTTTAGAAAACTTACGAGTGTGTTTAATTATTTTAGTTAGTTTTATATTTCTCGTTAGTTAATTAATCTTAATTAAAAATATAAGAATAAGTTTATATTAAAGATAATTGAGAAAACATTCATTTTTGTTCTTTTTTATTGACTACCCATAAAAATCATAAGAAACAAAGGTGAAGGGGACACATGCATGATCATTGTAATTTTATTCCTCAATTATTTGTTATGTTTGACTTTTTTACTTACATAAAACTTTATTGAGTACAAATAAAACTAGTTAAACTAAGAAAGTGATTAAAAAAATTAGTTTTTTTTTTATTTGAAAACTTGAGACTTTGATTACCATTAGTTTATTCCTTTGAGCTTATATTGTTAAAGATATTTTTTTGACACTTTATTTTGATTATAATATATTTTACAAGTCCTTTTGAAAAAAAATTAAAGACAATAAAGAGATAAAAAATAAAATGAAGGTAAAGAACCTTAAAAGAAAGAGAAAAAATGATGAATAAATAGAAGAAAGAAACAAAGTCTAAGAAAAAAAAAGTTGTTGAAAAAAGTAAAAAAAAAAAAGAAATATAACATATTGTTTGAAGTAATTATTTTTATTATAGAAGATTTATAAGTAAAGTGAAACCTTTATGTATCTTTCCTTTCTTATACTTTACTTGACTTTGTATTAAAATTCATGAATAAACTACAATCAATTAAAGAGCTTTTAATTTCAAAGATAATTGGTAAAATTAGTAAATATTTGTAAGTTTATAAGCAAGCTTACGATAAAATATGTTTAAGAGAAGATTGAGTGAATTATTTCTTAACCTCATTGAACATACAAATTGCTTGTCGAGGATAATAATTTGTGTAAAAAGTTAGTTTTATTGGGTTATCAACATGAAAAGTTCCTGTATGGTAAATATGTTTATGGTTGCTACATGTATTATTTCTTGGGTTCCTTATATGAGATTTAGTGATTTCCATTTTATATTATTATTTCTTTAGAGCAAGTAATGCTTAAGTTTAAGAAGTTTGATAAATTGTCATATTGCCATTTTTTCTAGAAGATTTTAGCTTATTTTTCTATTAGGATTATTTTCTTACCCTTTGAATTGACTAAGTTTCTTGTGATTTTATTATAAAAAATGGTGACAAAAAACTTGATTAAAATGAGTCAAATTATGATAAAAAAGTTGATGCAATGAGCAAACAATAGGTGAGTTTGTAATCTAAATTTTGAATTTTGTATTTGGATCTTCATTTTGAATCGGACAATTAAAAATTGTATCTTTTTTGGAAGCAAAATATATGTTTTTGAAGAAAAATAATACCTTTTTGAAAGTAAAATCACATCTCTTTAGATTCTATATTGTATAAATAATAGGCCTCATGAAGTTATGCTTTCATTTGAGCAATTAACCACGAGGACTTTTCTTTCCTTATTATTTATTATTATGGATGTTTTGTATTTAGTTACCTTTTTTTTTTGTATCTTTATGATTTTGTGTAATTCAATTCCTCTTGTTGTCACAACCTTTTTTATAAAGAGTCAATAACATTTTCACTTATCTTTCTTAATTAATTTATTCATCTACTAAATTATATATACATGAGTTTAAAAATATGGTCTTAAAACAAAATTTAATTTTGGCAT